ATTACACTATCAATTGATATCAACATTTATCATCACGCAATATTGATATAGCTCAAAGCAGCAAACAAAACTCACTTATAATATTATGGTTACAAACAGAGCATTGAGCATTACTTAAAAGATAAAAAACAAACAAATAATTATAAACCCTAACATTGTAAATATGCATTTCATTTCAATGATTTCCACAAAGATTTTTTTCATTTCAAAGGTTAGCATAAATGAATTGAACATAAATTATTTATAATGACTAAGCAATATAATGATTAATTGACTATATATACATTTACGCGAATTGCATTTTTTAAACAAATTGCCTGTATAAATAGGACTTTCTCCCCTTTCATTTTTTTGAAAGATCCTTACCCCATCCCCATTTTATTTTTTTGTTTTGATGCAAAAGTCCAACCCCATTCCCCATATAATCTTGTAAACTTCACCACGTTCCCATTTGACAAATTTTATATGGTGTATGTAAAAATCATTTCCATACAATTCTATAGAATTTATTTAAAGATCGATAAAAAGTATAAACCACAATACCGGTCTAGCCAATACGCCATCCTGTTAGATTTCCTGTGTTCACTCTCCTAGCCATTACTCTTCCACCGCCAACATCGAACAACACTCAACGTACAGAGATAACCTTTTACAAATTTTATTTTGTACGGACATGGTAATTCTTCGATCGGAGACTGCTCCGACAATTGTATATTTGTATGGTTGTGGGCGGGAATATTGTGCGTGAAACTTCTTTTCCTTTTATATAAGAATAGATATATGGATTAAGCCTTTTGTAACTTTTGGATACTCTTAGCTGAGCTTAGTCCAAATGAAACCAGTTTATTTCCAAAATATGAGTAATTACTGTTATGTTTGAAAAGAATTGCCATGTTTGAAGTCCGGTACTGCCAAAACATGACAGTAATTAGTCTTATTTTGGGAATAAAAACATAGCAGTCCTATTTTGGAATTTTCAAACCTTTGTAGTCCTATTTTGGGTAATATCTCAAAGAAGAATAGAAACTCTACTTATCAGTTATCATGTCACTTTCGTTGTCAAGGCGAAGCTTGTTCGGGTGAGTGATTGCCTATCAAATTATCAAATAAGAATATAAAATAAGAGGATGAAAAACAAAATAGTAATTTTAAAAAACATAAATAAATGAAAAACTACTACTACCTCCGTCCCGCTAGAAGGTTCCCATAGCAAAACGGCACGGTTATTTAGGTGATAATTAAATAAAATAATTCGGGTATATTTTGAGAAATAATTTTAATAGATATATATATTATAATGTGTTAGTATTGATAACTGTGATGTTATAAATGTATTATTTTTAATATTTAATGTGTAATTTGTCACTTAAGATTGTTATTTGTTTTCTAAAATGGAAATGAGAACCTTCTAATGGAACGTCCAAAAAATGAAAGTGGAAACCTTCTAATGGGACGGAGGGAGTATGTTGTAAGGACTGAAATCAGACTTTGGAAACCTTTGACCGGACATCAGAAAGGTGTGCAACAAATCGTTTTAAGTCCGGTCTTCTGCCCGGATTTTTCCGTGTCCTATATTTATGTACTCTTCCCATAGTTGTATATGTCACTAAAATGGTTTTGATATTTGTTCCAAAATGAATTTGATGTTGTAGGGAAGTGAGGGTTGTGTCTTATTCCATTAAGCAAGCCTCCTTTAAATAGGAGAAAATTAGGGTGTACAAGAGATGGGCCAATGGGCCAATTAGCTTAATACATATAAAAACCTTAGACATACTTTCTATCTATAACGAATGCACATTAAAGGTAATTTCCTTCAACACTTCCCCTTGTGCTGAGTTGTAGATAGAATGATACACACCAAGCTAGTTGTCGTGTAGGAACTTCGTCAAGTAACAAAAACCCTGTGGGAAAACATAACCTTGACAGAAAGAAAGCATTATGCGAACCGTGTCAAACTTCGTTCATTGAGTCCTTCGTTTGATCCTTACTTTGATCAACGTGTACCGTTACCTCATTAAAAACCTTGCCAAGTAACAAAACCCAGTGGGAAAAATAAACCTTGGTTTAAGGAAAAGAGTGTAACGCGTAGGTGTAAGACTCCCCCTAAAGTCTACACCTCCCCCTGATATTTACATTAATCAAGGAAGTTCGGAAAGCTTTCGCATTCCTATGTTCTTTACATGTTTCTCAAAAGTGGCTTTGGGTAATGACTTGGTAAACAAGTCTGCTACATTTTCTTCCGAGCTTATTTGATTCACTTGAATCTTGAGGAGAGCCTGTTGTTGCTGATTGTAGAAAAACTTTGGAGATATGTGTTTTGTTCAATACAAGCCGCATTATCTTCATAAATGCAAGTAGGCCCTTCAGTGGTAGATTTTAAACCACTAGTTTCTCGAATATGTGTAATGATAGCTCTTAACCATATACACTCACGAACTGCTTCGTGTAGAGCGATAATCTCGGAGTGGTTCGAGGAGGTAGCCACAAGGGTTTGTTTAGTTGATCTCCAAGATATTACCGTGTTCCCAATAGTGAAAACATAACCAATTTGAGAGCAGCCTTTGTGAGGGTCAGAGAGATACCCAGCATCAGCAAAACCTACCAAGACATCATTTGGAGTTTCCATATAAGGGGTGATCCTTTTGTCTTTGGTATTTTCTTTAGTAACCTCAATTTCATTTGTGGTTTTCTTTGTCTCTCTATAGGGAAAGAACAGTCCCAAGTCACTAGTTCCTTTTAGATATCGAAAAATATTTTTGATACCATTCCAGTGACGCTGCGTTGGCGCGGAGCTAAACCTAGCTAACAAGTTCACTGAGAATGCTATATCCGGTCGAGTGCACTGTGCCAAGTACAATAATGTGCCTATTGCACTTAGATAGGGAATTTCAGCTCCGAGTGCTTCTTCGTCATCTTCCTTTGGACGAAATGGATCCTTTTTAGGATCTAAACTTCGACCAACCATGGGAGTGCTAGCAGGGTGCGCTTTATCCATATTAAATCGCCTGAGCATCTTTTGGATATACGCAGACTGGTGGATTAATACTCCACAAACTCGATGTTCTAGCTCAAGGCCTAGACAGAATCGAGTCTTCCCAAGGTCTTTCATCTCAAATTCAGATTTCAGATGGCTGGCGGTTTCTCTAATTTCATCAAGAGTACCAATTATGTTCATATCGTCAACATATACAGCCACAATTGCGAATCCGGAACTTGTTTTCTTAATGAATACGCAGGGGCATAGTTCATCGTTCTTATATCCCTTCCCAATCAAGTAGTCACTTAGACGGGTATACCACATCGGCCCGGATTGTTTTAATCCGTAAAGTGAGCGCTTCAATTTGATTGCAAACGCACTCCGTGGTTTAGAGTCACTTGATTTGGGTAGTAAAAGTCCTTCAGGCACTTGCATATATATATCTGAATTAAGATCCCCATAGAGATATGCAGTAACCACATCCATTAGTTGCATCTCCAGTCCTTCGGAAACTGCTAAACTAACTAGGTATCGAAACGTTATAACGTCCATTACGGGAGACTAGGTCTCCTCGTAGTCAATCCCAGGGCGTTGTGAGAAACCTTGCGCCACGAGGCGAGCCTTGTACCTTAAGACTTCATTCTTCTCATTTCGCTTTCTGACAAATACCCATTTATGTCCTACAGGATTTACACTTGGTGGGGTTAGCACTACCGGACCAAATACCTGTCTTTTTGTCAAAGAATCTAGTTCTACCTGGATTGCTTCTTTCCATTTAGGCCAATCCGCTCTTTGTTGACATTCTGCAATAGAGCGTGGTTCGATATCATCGTGCTCTATAATTTCTTGAGCAACGGTAAATGCAAATATATCATCGATGTGTATGAAAGATCTTTCCATTAGCACATGTGCATTTTCACTATCCATTGAGATTTCTCGATTGTCTAGAATCATATCAAACATCGGAGCGTCCTCCAGTAATGATTCGTGGACATAACTGTAATCGGAGATAATCTCATGGGAGGGGTGTTCTACATCGATGATCAATGGATCAGGTTGTGCCGTACTCGTCCTTCTCTTCCTTGGGCGAGTATCAATCGAACCAAGTGGCCTTCCTCTCTTCCTTTGAGGAGCCACGGCCTCAACCACACCTCCACTAAGTGTGGTTGTAGTGCCTCCACTAGTGGAAAAAACACTTTTTATATGGGTTAAAATGCACTTTTAATGTCGGTTCCCGCGGCGACATAGTATCAAGGGATATAAAAAGTCGGGCACCTTTCGTGTCGGGTAAAGGGACCCGTTGTAGAATGTTTTTATAACGGTTATGACGTGAGTTTTTCTCGCACTTAAAATGGTTGTAGAAAAGTGGTGTAAAGTACGAGTATCGTCTCCACAGGGACGGACAAAAGGGAATTTAAAGATTAACTAAATTCAGCGATTAAAAAGAAATAAAATAAATAAATGCAAGTGTGCGAGATTGATTGGTGAATTAAAATTAAACTAATGCAGATGAACGATTAAAATAAAAGTGGTTTCTTCTCAATTAACGACGAAGGGAATAGGAATTGATTCCGGGGTAACCAGATTTCTGGCAGATCAGGCTTAATTACATGAATTTAATTTAATTGAGCCTAGCTAATCATTACTAAGTTCTTACCGCTCTCGCGGCGTAGAGTACAATAATTTAGGGGACCAGGCTGATCTCTCATGCGACAGGATCCTAAATTATTGCCAAGACGAGCGAGCTTACGGCCCCTTAATCGCTACTAATCTCTTAGCGAACGATTAAGTGTGTGTGAATGTGTCCTAGAACAAATTAGATCTCTCTTAATTCATTCTACATGCAATTGTAATTCTAGCTGCAGTCTAGGTTACAAGAGATATCAATTAAATTATTCAAACACAAATTAAACGGCATTCATGCAATTACACCGACAAGAATCTAGCCATACATCATGATTAACCCCTTCATCAATCCCAAATCCCTAATTAAACTACTCACAATTCATAATTGAAGAATCAACAGAATTGAGATGAATAGAAATAATTGTCATTAATTAAAAAGATGAACTTACAAATAATCCCAGGGTCTTGGAAGAAAATAGCGTAAAAACGCAGGTAAAACTCGTCCCTAGGCCTTTCCGTAATGTTCGTAACCCCCAAAACGGGGTATGGAGGCCTTATTTATAGAAAACAATGATTTCGGGTCGAATTAGGACAGATCGCGGCCAGGCACGGTGCCAGGCACGACCGTGCCTGCGACCGTGCCTACGGAAGAAGGCCGAATTTCGCGTCCAGGCACGGCGTGCCTAGCTGCCAGGCACGACCGTGCCTGGCCTCCAGTAGCTCCCAGGAATATTTCACTTCAGGCACGGCGTGCCTAACTCCAGGCACGACCGTGCCTGACCTTATTCTTCACTTTTTCTTCGTTTTCTTGCTCCAAACGCTCCCGGATGGCTATGAGGTCGATCCAAATGCTCTTTCTTCATCAGAATTTCGTCGTGAATCCCCCGATGACCTCCAAATCTCTCAAATCTTCTTCGAATGCTTCCAAACTCTGTCCGATTGCTTCTCAAGCGCCGATTGCCGGACTCTAACTTCTTCAAATCAACTCCAAATGCAATGAAACTCGATCCAACGCCTGCTAAACACAACTTGAGCCAAAATTGAGACTTGCAATGCCTTGAAGCCAGGAAAACCATCAAAATCCGACCCAAACACGCATCGAATGCGTGTCTAAATACGGACTTATCAGACTCCCCCACACTTAAGCTTTTGCTTGTCCTCAAGCAAATCGAACAACGGGACTTACGATAATCACCACACGGAATTTAAAATAGTTAGCATGCACACGTAGTTTAAAGGGATATTCACAAGACAAACAATCTAAACCAAGAAAATTCTTCCCTAAACTACACCTTTGTACTTAAGCTAAACTTTTTGACACAATTATTCACAACATCCTCAAAGTAATGACAGCCTACACAAATAAGCTAGCTACTGATCAGGACTTGTGAATGTGATGGTGAATGGATAATAATGATAGTCCCTTTATTTTGAGAGATCGGAATATTCTAACAAAGATTTAATGTATTCAGGAACTTCAGGGCTATTTTTAGGAACAAGGAACTCAGTAGGCCACAAATTAGGAACAATCATTTAAACCTATGCAAAGAGCAGACATGGTGTACCACTAAGCTAAACCGTCTCGGCACATTTGTGCTTTTAACGTATACTTGAAGTACGCGGAGGACTAAAGCTAATTTTTCAATAGCCTCCAAGTTCATTAATTATGGTTTAGTTTTCCTTGTCATGTTGGCATGAGAACGCCGTTTCTTTCGAAAGATACCCAAGTCTCATCTTACGCTTTTTGACCGGGGTTCCCATTCTCTTTTTTGAAAAGTAAGAGGTCTAGCTATATTAATTTTTCAATTTTCAGATTTTTACTAGACATTACCCCATTCTAATCTCAGCCTCACCAAGGAAAATTAGCAATTAAAGTTCAATTATTCAAGGTGAATCCATGCCTACAATGCAATCCTCGAAAATATCAAATTCCTAAAAAGTGACTGCTCTTACCCTATTTGGGGCATAGGAACAGTGCCAAAAATGGCTCATACACAAATTCTCTAAACTTAGCAAATTAATCCCTTAATTCCCTAAACATCAAGACTAAGTCAGAAATACTCACGGGTAAAGAAAACAGGCCATTTGGCTATGGAGCTTAATTAATTGGGTGACAAAGAATGATCAGGCTCAAAATGGCTTCTCCTAAAGGATTTTTCAGGTGGGGTGGATGATTAATGGATTAATTCAATGGGTGACTAATGCCTTCATCCTTTCAACAACTAGATTATAGTGCAAGCAATTTAAGCCTAAACACTTCAAAGATGTTCTAAAAACATAGTCAAAACGCTAGCCAGCCCACAAAGACACAGTTTAAAGAAAAGTTTTCAAAAATTTTGCATGAATTTCCTATGAATATACAACCAACACCTGCGCATGCTAGCTCTAACAAATCACATGTGACAACTACTGCCCGAATGCCCAATTCACTCCCCCACACTTAAACTTTGGCATCGCCCTCGATGACCAAAAATGCATTATGTACTAGGGGTAAAGAGGAAAGGGTCACGCGTGCTCAAAAAAATAACTCAAGTTAACATTACGCATCGAGTTCAAAGAATCATGGAAACTCCCCTGTCGCGTTGGTCGGTCAGGAACAAAACTGGGTCTTGATTCGCACGGCACATCAGTCATTTAAGCTGCAACACATCATGAACACAAAGCATAGCAAAATATAAAGAGTTAAGTGCAGTAGTGAGAGTGTGAGTGTGATAGTGTTTACGGTACAGTCATCCAACAATATCATGATACAAATGCTAGCGGCAGACAGTCTAATGAAATCTAATACTCGGGAGGGGGTGGCGGTGGATATGCATCAAAGAACGAGCTCCAGCTAGTCTCCATAGAAGTGAGTCTCTCATCAATCTGAGTGTACTGAGACTGGAGCTGTGTGTAATGAAGTGCCTGGTCCTCCCTCATCTCTCTGTAGAAGTCCTGCTGCTCGAAGCGCATCTGATCAAATCTCTCATGCTGCTCAGCGGACAACTGCCGATACACGGCATCCTGATGCGCATGCATCCCCGCCCAAGAATCAGGAAAAGCTGTGCCATAGGGGGGTGCATCGTATGGGGTCTCGTGAGCAGCTGTCTCCATCTCCACATCATCATCATCGTCATCATGGTCATCATCATCAGCATCATCATCTACCTGCTGTCCTCCTCCTGCTGCTGCTGCGCGGTCAGCCTCCCGCTGAAGTCTAGCCCCAAGTCCGGTATTCATGGACGGAAGTATGGTGAGCGGAAGAAAACTAGAAGAAACCTCCATGTTTCGGAACTGATCTCCATAGTCCATCCCTCGCAGAAGACGTGTAATGTATGGACCGGAATATAGGGCCTGAATGTGGTTTGTGGATTGGCGATGGAAGAGGCTAGCAATGATAGAGCCCATGCAGGGCTTCCTGTCATGAACCATGCAGTAGAGGCATAATAAGTCAGTGGTAGAAACCTTGGCCCCAACCTCGGCCCTCCCGGTCACTGTAGAAGCAAGTAGTGCGTGGATAACTCGGAACTTCCGGGGATAAAGAAGTGTGGCTGGGGTCTCTCGGGGCTTGTAAGTCTTGCCCCCTCTACTAATCGATTCCCAAAAGGCCTGTCTGTTCACATGCGGGGGGAAGTCACAAAGGCCAATCTCGTCTCGTTGTCCTACCTCAACATCATCAAAACCCAAAAAGCGCTCAATCTGACTAAGCGAAGTATCCAGCTTGTCTTCAAAGGCTTGGAACCTTATTCCCCTTTTTTGATAGTCCCTCTCCGGTATGAGCTTTGGGAGCTCAATTGTGGCTAACACCTCACACGTGACTTCCTTGAAAGTCGGCTCTTGGATGCCGAAAAATAAATGCTGCCACCAACCTCTCCTGATCAAGTGCATCACCTCATCCCTCAGTGTGGGCTCCGCTGCCATCAGTGTGGGCTCATCTGGGTGGTACATCGTACCCACCTTCTTCTTCATCAGCTCTAGGTATGTCAGCATCTCCTTTTCTGTGTCAAACTGGGGCTGGTAGCGGCCGCCTCGTGTGCCCTGTGAGCGGCTAGAGCTAGCAACTGCGGTGTGAGAAGCGCGTGTGGAGTTCTTTGTGCGAGCCATCTGCAAAAATAGTGAAAACAAAAGAATTCCAACGGGGCTTCAAGAGGTTAGAATTAGGCACAGAAAAGAATAGCCCCGTCAGCAACAATGATCCGCCAACATCAAAATATGCCAAAAGAAAACCCAAGTTTAACCAGAATAGTTGAACCAGAATAGTTGAAAAGTTTGAATTTTTATCAAAGAAAGGTTCTTTGAATAAAATTCAAGTTTTCAACGACACACGGTATAAACAAGGTCACAAGCAAGCTTCATTCATCCCAACAATGTTTTTAGAATAGAGTTCTTCCCAAAAGAATTAAAAAATCAAAATAGGGAAAAACTCACAATTCTCAAATTAGACAGAATTTGGCCCAAAAATTGGGGATTTGTGCTCAAATAGCCTTAACAACAATTACACATTATCTCAATCAACAATTCAATCTTAATTTAAGCAACAAGCACAAAATCCCCAAATTTTCAAACATTCATCAAAATTAACCCTAAATTGGCAAAATTAGCTCAAAAATTAGGGATTTCAATCAAAAGAGGCAAATTCATCAACAAAAAAAACATCAATAGTAACAACACAAGCCTCAATTGATACATGGAAATCAAAATCCCTAACATTCAAGCACATGCAATTTTCGGATTTTACAAAGCTTGAAATTCCTCCATTAATGGTGAAAGAAGAAGAGAGAAGAAGAAGGTACCTGGATTGAAGAGAGAGGGGAGAGGAAGGGGCTCGGTCGGAGTAGTGGCGGTCGCCGGTGCTGCGGTGGTGAGTGGTGGTGAGCGGTGGTGAGCGGGTTCGTCGTTGGCTCGTGGCGTCTTCGAGGAAGAGGAATCGAGGGGAAGGGGGTCGGTTTGGGTCGCGTAGGAAAGAAGGAGAACAGGGCTGGGTTTAGGTGTTTTAAGTCGCGGGTTATTTTTGTAAAATCGATCAGGCACGGCGTGCCTAACGTCCAGGCACGACCGTGCCTGGCTCCCAGTAGCCATGTTCCGCGATATAAGCCAGGCACGGCGTGCCTAGCTGCCAGGCACGACCGTGCCTGGCTCCCAGTAGCCTATTCCTCGTTTTTTCCTTTCAGGCACGGCGTGCCTGAAGGTAGGCACGACCGTGCCTGCCTCGAATTTTTTTTTTTTTTTTTTGTGGTTTTTGTGGGTTTTTTTGAAAAGCAGTAAAACTAAACTAACAAAGCACAAATTAAGCTCGGGTTGCCTCCCGAGAAGCGCTATTTTTAACGTCGTTTGCCCGACGCAACTACGCACTCAAAAACTCAGTCAAAAACACTTCCGCTCAGAAAATTTGTCTTCCACAAATCAAACCTCTTATCAACAAATGCCCCGAGATGGCGTAAGACCTTAAATTCATGAAAACAATTACGCATCTCAGGGTTACCCGTAAAGCAACAGAATGGATCGTGGCCTTTATCCGGCCATTTAGCGAAGAATGGTTTAACGAATGGGCAATTCTCTTCCTTGTCAAAAATCTTCCGGGCTAGAGCTTCCCCTTGTTCACTAAGTAAATTAAACCATGTAAAATTTTGGGATGGCTCAAGCTCGGGTGAAAAAATGACAGGGGGGTCAGGATTATTATCAATAAAATCATACTCATTTAAATCACCTCGCGTCTCTCGCTCAGAACTAGCATCACTTGAATCCTCCCCTCCACTTATCATAAGACAATCAAAGCTAGGGAGGGGCTCAAGATCCTCTGCTGAAATACTCTCTTCCAACAAAATATCAAACGGGGCTTCCTTGGAAAGCATGTTAGGTATGCAATCCTCCACCATAGAATCAATATCATCCACATAAAAACACTCTCCACTGTCCTGACAGGGCCTCTTCATTATTTTGGACATATCAAAGGTGGCAGTCTCATCCCCAACACGGAGGACAAGCTTACCGTCTCCAACATCAATAAGCGCTCGGGCAGTTGCCAAGAATGGTCTGCCCAAAATTAAAGGTACCTCACGATCCTGATTCATGTCCAAAATAACGAAGCCTACAGGAATAATAAACTTGTCCACTTTAACCAACACGTCTTCAATAATACCTTTAGGATATTTGACTGAACGGTCAGCCAACTGAATACACATACGCGTTGGTTTAAGTGGACCGAGTGCAAGCTTCTCATACAAGGAATATGGCATCAAATTAATGCTTGCACCCAAATCAGCTAAGGCCCTATCAAAAGTAAGATCTCCTATTAAACAAGGTATAGTGAAAGAACCTGGATCCTTAAGCTTCTCTGGTAGATCCCTTCTAATCACTGCTGAACAGTCCACGTTAAGCCTTACCGTTGACGCGTCTTCCAACTTCCTTTTGTTAGTGAGTAAATCCTTCATGAACTTGGCGTACTTCGGCATCTGTGCTAGTGCATCCACGAATGGAATGTTGAGCTGGACTTGTTTCATGAGTTTCAGAAAATGACCAAACTGGTGACTATCATTCTTCCTAGTCAATCGCGCCGGATAGGGGAGAGGAGGGGTGTAATTTTTGATGGGAACGGGCTGTTTTGGTGCAACTGCCACCTCTCTCTCCTCTTCCTTCTCTTTTTCTTCCTCCCGGGCAGCAGGTACATCTTTAACTTCTTCGGACTTCTTTGCCGTGGCAGCAGGTTCTAATTCTTTTCCACTCCTTAAGGTGACTGCATGAACATGTTCTCTTGGGTTTGGCTCGGTATTGCTAGGGAGGGATCCCAGAGGCCTCTCAGACAAAGCCCTTGAGATCTGCCCCAATTGAGTCTCCATGTTCTGCATCCTTGAGTCAGCCTGCTGCATCCTCAAATCTGCTTGTTGTTGAGATTGCATTTGTTGCTGCTGAATTTGCAGCAACTTCTTGAGTGTTTCCTCTATGCCAGAAAATCTTTGTTCTGTTTCTCTCTTAAAACTCTCTTGCACTGACTGAGATGCTTGATGTTGATTATAGTTCCTAGATTGCTTCTGAATTCCTTGCCCGTAATTTCCTTGCTGCTGCTGTCCGTAGGGCTGATTTTGGTAGCCCTGTCGCTGGTAATACATTGCGTCAACTTGCTCTACTCCAGGGGCTGCCAAGTGTGTCATCATAGTGCATTCATGAGGCGAATGGAGACCCCCACAAATGGTACAAGAGGGACTAATAGGACCGGGGGCTACCATATTAACACTAGGCACCGATAGAGCAAGATTCGTTTTCTTTTGATTATCCTCCACACTGGTAGCAAGCTTCTGAATCATGCTAGTCAAAGCATCTACCCTCGCAGAAAGGGCAGAATTATCACTGATCTCGTACAAGCCCGGGGCCTTCTGGTGAGGTGTGTCCCGAGAGCCATACCATGAAGCATTATTAGAAACTATCTTCTCCACTAGTTCTTCTGCTACCTCAGATGGCAACTGAGGAAAAGCTCCTCCACCCGAAGCATCAAGCATCATCTTCCCTTCATCGCTGATTCCGCTGTAGAAACAAGATAGAATCTCACTATCAGTCATCTTGCCTTGAGGGCAAGCTCTTCTTAGCACTTTGAATCTCTTCCATGCCTCAGCCAATGTCTCCAAAGAACCTTGCTTGAAATCCTGCAGCTGCCTCTTCAACTTTATTGCCTTTGATGTCGGAAAATATTCCTTGATGAAGGACTTGTGCAACTGATCCCATGTCTGAATATGGTGATGTGGATTGCTATCCAACCACCTCTGCGCATCGTCCCTCAATGAGAAAGGGAACAAAAGCATCCGTACCTGATCATCATCTAGCCCGGGGATCTTGAAGGTTTGGCACATCCTCAAGAATTTTGTAATGTGTGCCACTGGATCTTCTGTAGGGCTCCCTCCAAACTGATTATTGGACACCATGTTGATCACCGCTGGGTTGATCTCATAGCGAGGTGCAGTAATTCCTTGCACTTGGATGCTGTCATACTCTGTGATGTCCGGAGTGAGGAAATCTGCAATGGTCTCTCCTTGATAAAGCGGGTTGTTATGTGGGACATAGTTTTGGTATGGAGGAGCTTGATATCTCGGCTGATGAACTGGTTGTGGTCTTATAGGATGTGGACGGGCTATGTTTGACTGTGCTTGGGGCTGAACTTGGGGCTGATGATATTGTTGAAATTGGGGTTGGAAGGGCTGATTTTGTGGCTGAGTAAGGGGTGGATTTTGTGTGACTGGCGGTTGGTTCTGTCTGGGCTGAAAGAGTGGATTATTTCGCCCAATACCTTGCATCCCGTATGTTTGATTTTGAAAAATGGTTTCGGGAGCAGTAGAGGTATTTTGGAAGAGTTGATAAAGCGGAGTCATGTTGATTTGGGACGTGGCCTGATTTTGAGGAAAAAATGGTGTGCGGGAATTCTGAAATCCCGAGTAATTTCTAGGTGAAATAGGCGGTGAAGACTGGGGAGAGGTATTGACATAAAAATCAAGGTTACCAGAAGTGGTTTGGACCTCAGACGTCCCAGCAATTCCAGATGATGTAGGTTCCATGGTTGCGTTCTTCTCAAGAAAAACCTTGCGGTTCTGTCTAGCAAACTTCTCAATCTCAGGATTAAGAGGGACAAGTGATTCTCCCTTCTTTGAACGTGTATGCATAAACAGATCTGACCTGCAAGGTTAGCAGACAAAAATCCTACGAAATACTAAAAACAAGTCGCTAAAATTAATTAACCCTTAAATCCGACACCGTCCCCGGCAACGGCGCCAAAAACTGACGTGAGTTTTTCTCGCACTTAAAATGGTTGTAGAAAAGTGGTGTAAAGTACGAGTATCGTCTCCACAGGGACGGACAAAAGGGAATTTAAAGATTAACTAAATTCAGCGATTAAAAAGAAATAAAATAAATAAATGCAAGTGTGCGAGATTGATTGGTGAATTAAAATTAAACTAATGCAGATGAACGATTAAAATAAAAGTGGTTTCTTCTCAATTAACGACGAAGGGAATAGGAATTGATTCCGGGGTAACCAGATTTCTGGCAGATCAGGCTTAATTACATGAATTTAATTTAATTGAGCCTAGCTAATCATTACTAAGTTCTTACCGCTCTCGCGGCGTAGAGTACAATAATTTAGGGGACCAGGCTGATCTCTCATGCGACAGGATCCTAAATTATTGCCAAGACGAGCGAGCTTACGGCCCCTTAATCGCTACTAATCTCTTAGCGAACGATTAAGTGTGTGTGAATGTGTCCTAGAACAAATTAGATCTCTCTTAATTCATTCTACATGCAATTGTAATTCTAGCTGCAGTCTAGGTTACAAGAGATATCAATTAAATTATTCAAACACAAATTAAACGGCATTCATGCAATTACACCGACAAGAATCTAGCCATACATCATGATTAACCCCTTCATCAATCCCAAATCCCTAATTAAACTACTCACAATTCATAATTGAAGAATCAACAGAATTGAGATGAATAGAAATAATTGTCATTAATTAAAAAGATGAACTTACAAATAATCCCAGGGTCTTGGAAGAAAATAGCGTAAAAACGCAGGTAAAACTCGTCCCTAGGCCTTTCCGTAATGTTCGTAACCCCCAAAACGGGGTATGGAGGCCTTATTTATAGAAAACAATGATTTCGGGTCGAATTAGGACAGATCGCGGCCAGGCACGGTGCCAGGCACGACCGTGCCTGCGACCGTGCCTACGGAAGAAGGCCGAATTTCGCGTCCAGGCACGGCGTGCCTAGCTGCCAGGCACGACCGTGCCTGGCCTCCAGTAGCTCCCAGGAATATTTCACTTCAGGCACGGCGTGCCTAACTCCAGGCACGACCGTGCCTGACCTTATTCTTCACTTTTTCTTCGTTTTCTTGCTCCAAACGCTCCCGGATGGCTATGAGGTCGATCCAAATGCTCTTTCTTCATCAGAATTTCGTCGTGAATCCCCCGATGACCTCCAAATCTCTCAAATCTTCTTCGAATGCTTCCAAACTCTGTCCGATTGCTTCTCAAGCGCCGATTGCCGGACTCTAACTTCTTCAAATCAACTCCAAATGCAATGAAACTCGATCCAACGCCTGCTAAACACAACTTGAGCCAAAATTGAGACTTGCAATGCCTTGAAGCCAGGAAAACCATCAAAATCCGACCCAAACACGCATCGAATGCGTGTCTAAATACGGACTTATCAGGTTACTTATTTAACCGTTGTTGATTGTTTTTTATGTCGGTTCATAAATACCCCATATAAAATCTCTTTTATATGGGTTATCACTACAACCGTTATTGAATGGGTTTTTCCAATAAAACCTACTACGTATATTATAGATATTATGCTTTATGTAACCCTGCTTTTATACTGTAATCAACATAAAATGATATCCGTAAATGTGAATCATGGCAAATATATATTCATAACCGTAGCAAAATTACAAAGTTCCACATAATACTAGCACCATCCATTCCAAATCAAAACTACAAAGGTTTACATGTTCAAGTCAAAATTATAAAGTTCACCAGGATACCATCACCATTCATACTACACACATATCAAAATAGAACCATATCTAATCTAATATATTTAATATCGAGTTCTTGTAATGTCATAGACAAATGATGCCCAACGCTTTCTTGTCTCGTTAATCTCTCCTTCGGTAAATGGCTCTTAACTTGAACATTAAATGTCTGCAAAATATAAAAAAAGAAGTAAAAACACACATTCAATAAAATATAAAAATAGAAGTAAAATTGTGTATTAAGAAATATAATATAACAGAATTGAAGTATAAATTTGATGAAGCACAACTCAAAAAATTAATCACCTCGATCCATGAATCAATGCCGTCAGATATTATAATATCCATATGCCTCATAACATGGTACCCATACTCATGGCTTCCCCTTTGCATTTGACACTACAAATAGATGTTCATGTAAATATCTCCTTTGACTACTGTGCCAGGTAATCAAAATGAAAGAATAGGAATGCAAAACAAACACAAAAGATCCCCAGCATCCCAGACTACATTTATGTTTAAATTACCACTCCAAATTCGTAATTCAGTCAATATGCAATTCTATCAACTATCCAATAGCAATAGAAGCATAATTGAAATTGCACTCACTCGAACAAGATTGTAGCATATAAATAAAGTCACTCAACTTGTAGTATTTCCACTTAAAATCATATTTTGAACATCATGAACATTATGGCAGCTTTTGATAGAAGACAGAGAATTAACATCCTATTATTTTCAAATGTACTCTACGGCATTGCAAAATCAGCCCAAATATATACAACTATATAATGCAAAATCAACCCAAATATGTACAATTATAAAAAGAACTCACGACATTGCATGATAAGTATGAAAAAATATACTTACAACAGTTGGCCTCGTGAAGCCACCATATGACTTGGGTGGCTACCTGCTGCAGCAGAATAGCAGGAAGATCTGCTAACTCTACCGCCCAGCCGAAGTCAGTTCTCCTAATCAAGCTCACTGTTTTCTCATTGTATCCTACATCACTAGGAAACCGTTCAACGTTGTTTTCCTCGATGAATTCTACGCGTTTGATTGGGAGCTTGTCCAGAGAAATTTGGAGGTCTTCTTCCTCCATACTTACTGGGATTTCACCAATAATTTTGCATGGTTTACTCTGAATTTCACTCTAATCGGGGCGTAGTGGACCGGAGCGCGCCGGCATGACTCATGAACGGTGGGTTTCAGGTAGGCTTGTCACTCGCCATGTGTGTGTGTGTACAAACTTATCCGTGTGTATATTGATTCTGAAATTTGAAATATTTAGCAATTCAAAATCAAGTTTGAGAGCTATACAAAAGAAACTTAAACAAAAATTAAAGCTTATTCAAGTATGAATGTATAAGATACGTATCACAAAATACCAAAGATATGATGCTCTTGATTGGAAAATGAAAATATAAAAATTATAATCCAAGATGCCTCTCTTGTTCCCCTAGCAACTTATTTGAGTCTTGACGTCTTTTTGAAACTATAGCCAGTGCTGCGTTTTTTCCCTCTATCTTGGATCTGAAATTATATAGAAATAATTATAAGAACCTGTTTGGGTATGATTTTTTTGGCTGATATGATCAAATTTGCTATGAATCTATTTCAGTCAAATTTAGTAGTTCTAATTTTGCTTATTCTGCTAAAAATAAGAAGAATAAGCCACATTTGAATACGAAAAAGGCTCTAATACTAATGAATAAAGTTAAATCAACAAAGAAATCACATCCCATCACAAACTCAACCCACCAACCAAACCCTTAGCTTGCACTTTTTTTATACAACAAAAAGGCTTATGTTGCACATTGAATAAACAAGTTTCAAGATTTTACTAAAGTATAATCATACCTTTATAAATGTGTGCATTTCCATTCCACACCGTGCAGATCTCTAACAAACTAAAAAGTTAGGAATATAAGTTCTTGATGTTTAATTTTCAAAAACAGTTCTTAATGCTTATCACAAATTAAATGCAATTAGACAAACCCCAGATAAAACTACACACAAATTGAACAGAAACAAGTTTCAAAACATCACCACTCTTATGTCAATAAATTCGTTTAAACATTTCACTTGGACATTTTTACAAACAGTTGATAGACATAAGAAAACAAAAAGCTAGGAAAGAAGTTCTTCATGGTTATCACAAATTAAATGCACCACCAACATCAAAGGAAACTACATAGAAATTGAACCGAAATCGTAAAAACTAAAAAATATTTAGCATGTAATAAAAGCCTTTTTACCTAGATAGTTAGGAACAATGGTCTTACGCGACATAGATCAAGCAGCTTGGATATTCTGGAGGACGAGCAGCGAGGAAATCCGGCAGCAACGAACAGCGAGGAGATCCGGCAGCAAGGACCAGCGAGGAGATCCGGCAACAAGGAGCAACGAGGAGATCCGGCAGAGAGGAGCAGCTGCAGCGAGGAGATCTGGCAGCAAGGAGCACATGCGGCGAGGAACACTGGCCAGTAACACCCGCAGCGAGGATCGTCGGAGAACCTTCAGGAAAAGCAGAGCTTAGTGAGTGTCGTGGAAGCTTGAGTTACAGAAGTGTATTGTGACACTTCTCATCCGATGTCTTCATAGGGTTTTGATATTGCAGAGACTTAACATTTAAAGTATTAAATGGAAACATTTTATAAGGGTCCAATTTGAACGGACATGGAAACTATTTTCGCTTAATTTTAAAATTGACCCCGAACCAGATCCAATTTAATAAGAATTATGAATATGACCCCGTTTTTTACATTCTATAACGGGCAACGCTATGAACCGTCATGGATAAAGTTTAAATTTTACAAATTTAACCCGTTCAGCAACATGAAACTTTAATTAATTATGAATATGACCCCATTTCAGTATACCATAACAGTTAAATATTAACCCATATTAAAGGCTAGTTATAGAATGCATATTTTGCACTAGTGCTCCTACTATGGCACTATTCCCTCTTTTGGGGATATCTAACCTTGCGGGCACATTTGCTGCTGGTATGTGTGATCTTGTCACTTTACCGATGTCTGTAAATGAATCAGGCATAGAGTCTGCTACATTTTGGAGATCGATTATTCTTTTCACTTCACCTTCACATTGTGAAGTGCAGGGATCAAAGTGAGACAAGGTTGGAACGCACCAGGTCAATTCCTGTCGTTCCTTCGGAAAGTTCGTTTTCCTATCTCCCCCTAACGACGGGAATGTTGTCTCATCAAAGTGACAATCCGCAAATCGTGCGGTAAAAAGATCGCCTGTCAAAGGTTCTAAATAACGGATGATTGTTGGAGATTCGTACCCAACATATATACCCAATCGCCTTTGAGGACCCATTTTAGTACGTTGTGGGGGCGCAATCGGCACATATACTGCAGAACCAAATATGCGTAGATGTGAAATGTCAGGCTCATATCCAGTGACCAATTGGTACGCAGAAAATGGTTGGTTTGCGATGGGTCTAAAGCGAATAAGTGTCGTTGCATGTAATATTGCATATCCCCATGCAGATATGGGCAAGTTGGTGCGCATAACCAATGCCCTAGCTATCATTTGTAGTCTTTTGATTGTAGCTTCTGCGAAACCATTTTGTGTATGTACATGGGGAACAGGATGCTCTACATCGATCCCAATGGACATGCAATATTCATCAAAAGTCTTTGATGTAAATTCTCCAGCATTGTCAAGTCTTATTGACTTAATAGGATAATCAGGGTGGTGAGCCCTTAAACGGATTATCTGTGCTAGGAGCTTTGCGAATGCAGCGTTCCGTGTGGACAGTAAAGCAACGTGTGACCAACGGGTCGATGCATCCACCAGAACCATAAAGTATCTAAATGGTCCGCATTCTGGATGGATGGGTCCACATATATCTCCTTGTATTCTTTGCAAGAATGGGATGTTTTCTTTGGTATCTTTAGCATAGGATGGTCTCGATCCTGTTTTTGCTAAAGAACAGGCTTTACAAAATGTTATTCTTGATCTGGACATAGTTAAAGATGCATGAGCTGATTCTTCTCGTACTTCAGAAGATGCTTTTTTGTTCTCTATAAATGTAGGGCCAACACCTTTCAATGTGTTTGATTTTTGCCCATTTTTATTCCTTCCTCGAAAGAAAGGATGTCCATGCGAATTTTTTAATATACGGATCATCATGTCACGACCAGGGTGTCCAAGACGATCATGCCAAAGCCTGTATGAGTCAGTGTCCCAAATTTCATTGTTGGTGACAACATAGGATTCAAAGATCCGAATAGTGGTGACATAAAGTCCACTAGATTGACTCATTAATTTCTCTAGTATGCGTTTTCTTCCGCATTCATTAGAGGTAATGTAAAGATATTCCACACCATTCTCACAGTGAGTTTCCACGTGAAACCCATTATCACGAATATCTTTAAAACTTAATAAGGTTCGGGTGGCTCTAAGTGCATATAGAGCGTCTGTGACGATGAATCTTGTGCCATTAGGCAACATGAATTGGGCAGTACCTCGCCCTCTTACTACGTCTGAAGATCCAATCATTGTAGTCACAGAAGAGTTATAGGCTATTAATTTAACAAATAATTGCCTATTTCGTAGGATAGTGTGTGTGGTCCCACTATCTACTAAACACTCAAGTTCTCCTCGAGTCATTCCTGTATAATTAGGACACGAAATATAAATCCGAACCCACAATTTAAATATTGTTTGGATTATCAATCCAATTATTAAGGGAAAAATAATAATCATGTAGTGTCCAACACAAAAGAGATATAAAACCACACGCAAATAGTAAAAGTGTTCAACAGTCCATGAGCAGATAAAGAAATTAAATTCAATCAGTCAAAGTCAGGTGCATCGACTGACTGAACAGCGTCCTTCTTGCCGCCAAAATCAGCAATTGTGAGGTTAACGTCAACCTCATTATCTTCGTCGGTCACAAAATGAGATTCCTGTTCTTTAGCCTCCCGATACTTTTTGTAAGCTGCCGCAATTTTATTATTTGCTTGGCAATTCTTATACCGGTGACCTGCAACTCCACATCTATAGCAAGGGTCTCCGTCATTTCTTTCTCGTTTGGCTGAAGGTTTTTCGGATGCATTGCGGGCATTTGATCCTACACCCTCATCTCTTCGCCATACATTGGAAGATCCTCCACGACCCATACCTCGGCCCCCACGCCCGCCGCGATTGTTGCGCCCCCTTCCACGAGTGTGGCCCTCTCCTCTTCCACGAGGGTGCTTTCCAGTGTTTGCTTTGCCATAGTTGACCTCGGGAATTTTCTTTGTCCCAACTGGTCTGGCATTGTTATTCAAGAGAACTTGATTTTGTCTTTCAGCAACTTGGAGCAAATTAATTAACTGATTAAATGTGGTTATTCTGTTGTTATTATGCTCCAACCTATACTGGTTCGGTAGTATAATTGCTGAGGTAGGGAAAGTGGAGAGGGTCTTATCAATCATTTCATCTTCTGTGATTGGTTTACCACATAAATGAAGGCGCGCTTTGAGGTGTAACATGTCCTTATTAAAATCGTTGATCTTTTTGTAGTCAACTAAGCGGATTTCATTCCACTGTACTGTCAGTTCGGGGAGCAATGTGTCATGTATGTTCCCAAAACGACCTTTTAGTGCGTCCCACAGTTCTTTGGGGGTTTTCAATTGTAAGTATTCCCAGCGTAAGCTAGGGTCAATATGGCGTCTAAGGAACATTAACGCAGCAGCCTTTATTTTTTCAGACGGTGCATTGTCTTTTAAACTTTCAGGGTCGGTAAGCGTGGCAGAATAGTCTTTAGCCACAAAAGTGGTTTCTATGTCAGAAACCCATCTATGGTACTCAAGTCCTTCTGAGTCCAGAATGTCAAATTCGGGTGCAGTTGGGTGAGTCATCTTAAATAAAAATAAAATAGATTAAGAGTACATCCACCAGCCTTGCATATGCGGTATCGATAATAAATGTATAATGAGAAAAGTTATAGTTCTTCATGCAAAAGTTCTTTATTGCATACGTAATTAAAAGAAAAGGTTGAATCGATGGATGAATATAGTGTTGTCATTCATCACACCTATATTATATTACATAAAATTACATAAATGTGATATGTCATTAATCTTACACGTGCATCATATGCATAAACATATTGCTAATAGTTGATTTTCGTAAACATTATCGTAAAGGAAGTAAAGAAAGCAATATTGCTAAAAAAATGCGTAAATGGTTGCCGATTTTGTTTTTGACAAATATATAAAATAGTTGATTAACGAAAAGAATCAATTTTTACTCATTAAATTATTGATAGCATCGGGTTTGACCAAGTAAAAAAAACGTTATTCTAAATAAAATTTGTGTTAAAGAAAATATTGAATCCCACTAACTGTTTTGTTTAAAAATACGTTATATATATAATATTTTAAGTTCGAAAGTATTACAATACAAATTCTATATACGTTATAGGTGCTAATCTAAGCATTTAACCGTTGGACAACATATAATTAACGGAAGCATGTAAACATTGTAAGCTTATGCAATAAGTAAATATTGAGACATCTAATTAACTTTATGGCATGTAGTCAAGCAGTATGTATTATATAATGCATATATGCAAACATTGAGGTACATTACGTGTGAATATCAATCAATTAAGCATATAATAATATAAAATTAATAATCCACGTATTATATATGGTATTGCAAAAGGAATAATACATACTAAAAGATATTTGTTAAAAATGAAATATACACATAAGTTACAATGGGTGGAAAAATACGTTTTTTTCATATAGTCTAGAATAATAAAGGGGGCAAATACATGCATGAGACAACAATATCTATATACATACGTGTCATTTATTTTATGCATGTAGGTGTATGCATGTGTCAATTGTATGTTATGCACAATTAATGGAATATTAAAGTCAAAATAAAACTTGCCATATTATTTACTCATTTAAGGTTAACGGGTTTAAAAAAAATGATTTTCTTTGCTTATATAATATTCTTACGTATATACACAGATTTGTCTATAATAATAATATAATGGGAGTATTTATGCTCATTGATTCATGGACGTTACAAAATATATTGTATGGTAGTTTACCATTTTAGTGGCGAAGTGGATTTAGTTCCAAGATCTCAGTCTTACTAAAAATAAACAAAATAAATTAATGAGGGTAGAGTCACAATTTAAAATTCTGGATTACACTTACATATGTGAGGTGCGGGGGGAATCGTTTAGTTAAAAATGTATGTATTATGTTTACATGTGTACACAAACATTCCCTTAAATATTAAAATCAAATAAGTAAAGTGAAGACTTAACATTTAATCATTTGTAATGGGTGATTATAGACAGAAACGTTGATTATTTTATTTATATAATATAATTCTGAGATATATTTTGAAATAATGAAATCATCTAGGGTATGCATGGAATTTACTAGAGGGATTAACATATATATATAATGTACATAGAGTGTCTATTGTGCTAGTTTAGACATATAACGGTTGAATAACAAATTTATTTTGTCAGTGATTATATATAAACGAAAATGAAATACTCCGAAAGATCTTTTTCATTACAAAAAAATTGGCATGTATGAAAGGATGTGTCGTTTTGTGTGGCGGCAGAATAAGTACATGATGAAACAAGTACTCCGGAAAGAAACATACGAAGTATATATTACAAATATATGAGCAAACAATGTTGGATGTTTTGCTAAAAATAAAGCAGGTTGTTAATAAACGAGATTTGAATATATTACGACGTATATATTTTCAATGGACTAACCTCAAGTCCAAGTGATGGGCGACGTGGATCGTTGATGGAGGATGTTCGATCTTTGGTGCTTGAATCTCCTCTACTCGTACGGAAGCTTTCAATAGTTCATCAATGAAAAGGAAAATTATGCGGATGATAAAAGATCGGCTAAGGATGGTGATAGCCGAGTGAAGGGATGCGGAAAATATTTAGGTTTAGAGCAACGTGCTGATAACGTGTTGTAGGGAAGTGAGGGTTGTGTCTTATTCCATTAAGCAAGCCTCCTTCAACATTTGATTTAATTTATGAAAAAATATGTTATTTACATGGTTTCTTTCTCCTGCTACAAGGGTCACGCTAGAAATTCACATGTGTACGCTCGTGGTGGTCATTGTTATTATACTCTTTGTGACTCGAGAATATGTAGTTCAAAATGTGTCTTTGTTACTCGAGATTTTGTAAAATACAAATAAATGTGTTTAAAATGTTCGAGCAAGATGACTATGTGTTTTAAACTTCTCAAGTTCAAAAAGATAAAAAATAATGATAAATTGATCATATGAAGCTTCGCGAACAACTCAAGATGTAGTTTCCTTACCAAGTACATGACTTCAAATTACTCATAAACATACAATAAGAAAAGTAAAAATACAAAAGTTTACATGGAAATAGCCCAATTGGCAAGTTCTGAATTGAAAGAAAAAAGAATTTAAATGAATTAAATGGAAATAGCATGTGGCTTATCCAATTCTCTTTCATTTTGCATTGATACGCAAGTGCTTGGATGAATTTACATAATCAAATATCAATACACCTTGTATTCAAGGATTCAAGGTACTGATATCTTTAAAAACCCAAATGAATATAGAAGATTAGTGAGTAATTGTATTAGAGTTGAACTTGTTATGGAAATAATGAGTGAGTCACGGTTAACCTGATACGAAGAATAACTCAAGATCTTAATAGAGTGTTTAATTGTTTCAGAGATATCCGGTGTAGGGCAACACTCCTCTTCACAACCAGACACGTCATCTGGATCGTGCCTCATTCATTTTTCATTGGGTCGTTATTGTCATTTTTTATAATTATGTCGTCATTTTCATAAGGGGCCATGATTATGGATTGGATTAGTTATAATATATGTTAAGGCTTGAGATTCCATCCGAAAGAATTAACTCAAGACTTTAATTGCTTTAGAGATGTCTGGTGCGGGACAACGGCCTTATTTGGCAATCGGTTGTTAGTTGTTAGCTATTAGCTGGTTATGACTGCTGGTTGACATTAGCTGATTGTGTCAGATGTTTTAGTTGGCTGATTATGTTAGCTGGTTGTCTGTAAATGTTTGGTAAATTAACTGTTTGAGAATAGTTGTTTGCGTGTAAAAAGACATATAAGGACATTAGTATTTTTTTATTTTAGTTATTGCATACAAAAACAATATTACCTACATTTATTTACAAAGTATAAATCATTTTACTTCAATCAAAGGTGAGGGACGGAAAAAAGAAATCAAAAGTGCGTATAAATTTTTAGTTGGAAAAAAGAAACCGAAAATGTGTATAAATTCATTATTGCATGAAAAGAAAATAAATCATTTTGGATGCTTAGTGATATTTGACATCATTTTTTATTAGCTAGGAACGATAATTTAATTCGGTATTCATTACTCATTTAAAGAGGTTTATCCCATCCGTAGTGCACTTAAAGAAGTTGCAACAAATTAAAGGAAATAAATAAAAATAAAATGAAAAGAAAAGGAGTCAAGCACTCACGCCTAAAGAAAGGATCGAATAGGCATTTGATAAAGATGTATCGATCAGCCAGAGGGACACGCTGCCCTTGCTAGCGTTTAGAAGATCGGCGTTTCGAGTGTAACCATCTAGGCCTAACATCTACTTACCAAACACATCTATTTAACAACTTAGCTGGTCAAACCATCTAATAATGGTCAAATAAGCTGAAAATTGGGCTGATAAGCCATTAACCAAACATGACCAACACTTACAAAATTAGTGTTACTCTTAAAAGTAAATTAAATTTATACGTACTATGTATTAAAGTTCATTCATATATCATAAGTTTAGTAAGACAAACAAAAATATCCACCAAACCCGAGATTGCACACTGCATTGGATATTCTTCATTTACTGATTAAAGCTTGGTTACTTCTTTGAGTTCTTTCTGTCAAGTTTTCGCTATACACTTAATACTTACGAGTACGTTTTTCTTTTCTTTTTTTACTCCGGGGTCTGGGAAGGGGTTAGGGAGAGCCTGAAGTATTTAGAACTGAAACTCAATCCATTGAATTTCGAATCCTTATTTGCCTAGCGGGTTTCGGATTCAAAACCTCCCACTAAACAGTAAACACAATAATCTCACAACCAACTGGGGCAGAATGCTTGGTTATACTCACTATTATTATACTACGTAATATAATATCTAGGGGTGGGCATAAAACCCGAACCGAACCGGTACTGAACCGACCAGTAATGGTACCGAACCGAATACCGGGTATTCAAACGGTTCTATAAATTTTTATCCCAAACCGAAACCGTACTGTTTGAAACGGGTACGGGACCGGTCCTAGAATTTGAGTACCGAAAGATACCGAACAGGACCGTTCAAAAATAATGCATTGAAATTTTTTATATTTTCCCCATACCAATAAATCTATTTTATAGACCAACAATTTTATAGCTTAAGTATGTATTCATGCGTCCCTAATATAGCTAAATGTGTTTATGTATATATATATTGTTATTTTTTCGTTTTAGATAATTTATATTATATTTTGGTATGTATTAAAAGAATGTTAAAGTTTTAGAAATCATTAATAACTATTCATTTCTAGTAATGCAGTGTATACAACTTTTTGTTGTTTCACGTTTGTGCAATTTTACAACTTAATTAATATGGTTTAAATCTTAGCTCCCGCGGTTCAACTATTAATTTAATTAGAACTAATACTTAACCTAGAACAATGAAGAACATTCATTTTTTCTATTATATTCATTAATTTGATGATTTTATTTTTATATTTTCAAGTGAATTTTGTGAATTAAAGATGATATGTATTTCGTTTATCGTCATTTTGCTATACTTTTTTTTAGTTGTGTTGTATTATTTGTGAATTGTAGAATTGTAGTACTACGTAAGCAATTTCTTGTAACATTTTATGTGAATTAGTTGGTGTGATGATATCTACTAATTGCAAAATGTTTCCAATTTTTTTAGCATGTGTTTGACATTGTACCGTACCTATATACCGCTCCGAAACAACATGGTACCGAATGGTTCCATCCTTAGAACCGGACCGTATCGGACGTTAGAAACCTCACGGATACATTACGGGTTATACTAATTTACCGGACCGTTCCGGACCGCGCCCACCCCTAATAATATCTCTATTCTTGCTTAGTGGCAATATAGTTCAAATTTACACTATTCACATATTCACTTTTATACCGTTCTGAAACAACATGGTACCGAATGGTTCCATCCTTAGAACCGGACCGTACCGGACGTTAGAAACCTCACGGATACATTACGGGTTATACTAATTTACCGGACCGTTCCGGACCGCGCCCACCCCTAATAATATCTCCGTTCTTGCTTAGTGGCAATATAGTTCAAATTTACACTATTCACATATACACTACTTTGACAATTGACTACATTTTATTTTATTATTAATGTATTATAAATTAAACTTTTGAAATAAAAAATTCAAATATATTTCTCCGTAATAAACAAAATTGTGAACTAAAATTGGCCGCATTGGCTGATTCTGCTGAAATTTATGAAGTTATGACTGAAGTGGCCGTATTGGCTGATTCTGCTGATTCATGAAAAAATTATATTTAAAATATTTGTTATTAATAAATAAAATAAAAAGTTATATGAAAAAATAGCTAAAAAGTTTCTCTACAGTAACTTCAACTAATACAGCCAGAAAAGTAACTCCAACCTTACTTTTCCAGCTTATTACACAATTCAGCGCGTGAAACTAAAAGTTGCGTGTTTGGTGAAAAAACTGGCTGATAAGCCTGATAAGCTCGAAAAGAGGTCACCAAGCGGGCTCATAATCATTGAACCTTTGTAAATAGGCATGGACCGGTTCCGGTCGGCCCGAGAATCGACCCTACCCGCCACTGTGTGGGCCCGGAACGGCCCGGTGAACCGGTTTGGGAACCAGGCCTAGGACCAGCTCGGTGTGTTAGAGCGGTCCGATTCGGGGCCTACCCTTCCTTTGGAACCGGCCGGGCCGGACCCGGTTCGTGCCTATTTAATTGTTATTTTTTTTGTTTTTTTCAATTTTTTTGTTTCCCCCGAGTTGGGCTAGGTGTTATGGGAGGATTTGGGGGTGGGGGGCAGGGGGTTAATTAGAAAAAGCAAAAAAAAAAATGAACTAGCCCGGGCCTAGTTGCAAACCGGGTCAATTCCGGGCCCGCCCCCAAAAAATAAAAGCCCAGTTTGGACCGGCCCGGAAGCGGTCCATGCCTAGTCATAAGCCAATTGGAAGAGGTGAATTTGGCTGACAAGGAATATAAAGATAAAGTGACCATTTATTTATCAACCAGAATAAAAAATCTTAAATAAAAGAAGTAATTCAACCCCGTTTGGGCTATCCCTATTTTCAATTCATTAGTTTTGTCAACTTACTTTCTACCGTACCAAACATTAAACATTTAATTTAAAAGATCATTTAATTATGTAAATAAAACCATAACAGTTACTCGTGTGACTGAATTGTTGTAAATGAATATATTAACTTTTTGCATGCAATATTTTTTGTCATACTGCAAAACTGACAGGAAAACCATTAATTCTACACGCAATGACGCAAGTGTGCTTTCAGTTTCAGCATCTGAGTTCACAAAGCTCATCACTCACCAGCCAATAAATAATACTCCGTACAATAAATAAGACTACTTCTATCGGTATTCGGTGATAGCAACTTTGCAGTGCCCATTAATGTTAGACCTACACATGGGCGTACACAGAACATACAATAAGTACCGAAACAATGGACAGGCGAGGCAGCTATAAAACATAACTAAGAATGGTGATAAAACTCAAATTTTAAGGGGAAGAAAAGGGGTTAGAAAGGGGCAATGCCTACAGGCTTTTGCCATCTCCTCACTGATAGTACATGAACTGCTGTGCAGCTGCGACACTCTGGAAGCCGCCATCGTATATGGCTTGGCTTGCTCCTGCAACCCCTCCCCCCATTGACCCAAGTTGCTTCATTGAATGATGGTGTTGACCCTGAGGGTGAGAGTGGTGCATCAGAGCGGGATTAACTCCACCCCCCATCTTGCTCATTGCAACTTGCCTCCCATACATCAACATATCAGCTGCTGTAGTGCCCTGCATCGATACAGCTGGTTCTGGTGGCGGGAGTGGGTTTGACGATGTCCCTGGCGGTGTTGGCTTGTTCCCCCACGAGCACTATATATGTGTTGGAAAAAATGAAAAGTTGTAAACATAAAATAAAAACAGAAGTGAATTGAATCTCAATGATCACACATCCAGAATCTTTTGAAAGATAGGAGCAACTTGAAACGGCTTAAATATGTTTTTATTTCCTGCAAACATAGTGTTTTTTAGTTTCAAGTCTCTGTGATCCTCTCTCTTTTGCTATTCATCCCAGTGATTCAAGTCATTTTCTCTTTTGTCCCTCTGTCTTCCCACAAGAAAAACTAAGATGTGTCGCAAGAATGGGACTTCAACCCAAGGTTTGAAATTGCGAATTGCGTAGTCGTGGCGTTTTTTTAATATTGCATATTGCGTAAGCCTCATTGCGCAATGAGGCGTATAGCTGAGGCGTAATATAAACATAATAAAAAATAAACATATTCATCAAAAGTCATCAAATGTTATATTAAAACAAACCATAAGAGACCAAGCAAAGTAACATGGAATACCAAAACATTCTGAATCATTTATCAAAACAAAAATCTAAGATATGAAAATTTAAATTAATTAGATTGATTGACTGAAAAATTCAATGAATAACTACTGGTTTGAAATAGGGATCATAAGATCAATTATAAAAATTTAAAAGTGGGCCAAGTGGGCCCAAATAATACCCTTACACCCTGACCTCCTATTGCGTACGCCTCAGAGCGCCTTATTGCGTATCCAATATTGCGTACGCCTCAGTGCAATATTGCGTACATCACACTCCCAGCGCCATATGCAATGCCTTTTACGCCTTAGTCCAGGAATTAGCTGAGGCGCGCCATGAGGCGCAATTGCATTGCGCAATTACAAACAATGCTTCAACCTTTTGGCATCACTTTCTATCTCATCGGTGACAATTGGAGGAGTTTGGGACTTTGGGGGCTTAGAGAATTTGGTTTTTTTAAATGGGTATAGACCACAAAAGGTGATAGTATAAAAACAAAGTGATTTAAAGATGCATGGATCACAGATGAATAACAAAAATGATAATTTATTTTCAAAAAGAAAAACAAAAATGATACTACGTAATTTACAAGGACCTCTTAAATATCAATGTCCATCTCCATTGTTCTTAAACGCTAATACAAGTACACTTGAAATTTACACCAGGAAAAAAGAATGACATATATAGATTTACTTTCCAGATTAATTAATGACTAACCTTAATTTGTTTTCCGAAAAGAAGTGAAGGACAATTCCCCTTCTGAATAGCCAGCGCAGCCTCTGCATGGGTGCTGTACCTTACAAAACCAAACCCTTTATCACACTGGACACGAACCTCCACAATTATCCCTGCACCAAGACCATGGAAGTGGCAATGAAGATCATTTTGTGTTACCTGCATATATATATATATTGATCCAATGAGATTTCAGAATCGAAAGAAGAGATGATACTTTTGAAGGTTGTGAGTAAGTAAATCTATGGGAAAGGAAAGGTTCAAGGAATGCCAAAATCGACCCCAAGAGCATCTCTAACGCCCTCACTTAGGGTTATTTTTTGTCAAATGCAAAACATCCAATGAACCTTTCTCAGAGTCTTTCTCTACCTCTAATTATTGGAGAAGTAGAACATTATATGTAAAAATACCAAATAATTTTCTTCAAAACCACACAGAAAGATGATTAGAGGAGGTCGAAAGTGTTGGAACTTGGAGGCCATTTTTAATATCACTTTTCTACCAGAAAGCTCGAGTTTGTAGCTACTTGAATAAGAGAAAGGTTGCTTGCCTCAGCAGCAAGATTGCCCACATACACAGTGGTGTACAGGGGATTGTTCTCAGGAGCTTCACTGTTAGTTGCTTCTGCACCATTATCTACAAACGCAAAAAATGCATCTAATTACTACACCCACGTGAAAGGGGAGTTCAGAATCCTAATGGTTAGAATGTACTCTAAACATTAGGATTACTTGGTTATTGCTCAAAAAGAGGAAGGCTATTCAAAGGTTTAGTTGGTTATTGCTCAAAACCCTAAAGCAGTATACTCCATATATTCCAAAAAAATGCTACATCAAAGTACAACTTTTAAATTTTAGTAAGCTACAAGTCCGGAAAATTTTGAACTTGATATAAATATTTAAAAATCTTGTTCTCTCAACTAAATCTGACACACTTAGCTTGTTTAGTACACTTTTTGGAGATACATAACACTAAATACATCAAATAATAACATCTTTTATTGAGATAGGACTCTTTTTGGACTCCAAATGTCCCAAAGAATAAAAGAATTTTGCTTCACCAAAGTACAACTTTAGATTTTGGAAGGTACAATTCTGGAAAATTATGATTATATTTATAATATTTAAAATTATATGTTCATTCAACTAATGCTGACACTTAGCATGTTTGCTACACTTTTGGAGGAAAATAACACTAAATTTAATGAAAAATGACTTCTTTATTAAAATATGACTCTTTTTAGACTCAAAAAAAATGAAACATGAGTTTAATTTGTGGGGCCGAAGGAGTACAAAGTTGTGTAATTGCTGTTAAAATGGCACACCTGATATACCATTTGTTAGTTCTACAACACTTCTTGCATCAGAGCTATGAATATCATCATTGGCATTAGCACCTTTAGTAGCCCAGTTACATCGTATCTGTCTACTGCCAAGCCATTTGCCTGTAAAAATATAAAATGAAAACTTAAAAAGCCAGTACAAATTCATATCATTCCCATCTGCCTTAAAAACACAAGGATTGCTCTTTCGGATATATACTATCTGTTTTCCTTAGTTTTGAACTACATGAACTTGAGTTTTGCCTCTACCTGTTACATCATTGATGGCACTTTGGGCATCCTGGAGAAGAAACAGACAATCAGACTAGCACCTTAGAGTAGTACTTGAGCTGAAATCTAAAAGCGAAAGGGAATCCAAGTGACAAAGATCCTACCTGTTGGTTTCGGAAAGATACAAATCCAAAACCCCTAGAGCGCCCAGTTTTCTGGTCCCACATGACCCTTGCATCACTAGAACATCGTAAAATGGAAAAAAGGCTAGTTAAATGGTGCATATATATATTACCAATAAAGGCATGACTCTCCATTGGTAAATGTGTTTTTTGTAATTTAAACTAAATGCATAAATAAACATCTGACATGTTACTTCCTACCTATGTAGCACGGAAACGGGAAACGGGAAACAAGGACACAGGAAATGGCATTTTCAAAAAAAGTAGGACACCAAACATGGGGTAACACGTAAATAAAAAAAATATAGGGATGTCATAATAAATATTCATGTATATAAAAGCTTGAACTTCTCTAATATTAGTGCAAAACAGAATTGAATAATAATGTATCATATATTGGGCTTTGAACGTCTCCGTGCGTCATTGCTTCCTACTAAAAGGTCTAAAACAGACATCTAGACACACACGAGAGAATATTGGATATTGGAAAGGAAGGAGCAAGAATGGAATGCAAAATGGCACTTACGAACAGCTTGGGTAATCCGAGAAGCAAGAAAATAACATAGCATCAGTAACTTCAGGGCTAAGGTCACCAACAAATATATTGTAATGACCTGCAAGATGACAAGATCCAGTTACCCCAGAGTTCGCAAGATGATTACTGACTGAAATGAAATTGTAGTACTAGTTCACAAATACAGACTTGAAGTATCCTCTCTCTGATTGCTGGTGTAAGCCCAGTTAACTTTGATAGGTTGACCAAACCTGTAAATTAGATGTATAAGATCCCACCAAAAAATCATGTGCGTATAAGATATACATAATAAGATATACATAATTTTTACGTACAGTTGCCTTCCGTTAAGTGCTAATATAGCCAAAGCAGCAAATCTACGATCATAATAATGAACAAATCCATAAGATGACTGCACACAGAGTAAACATTTCAGTAAACAGAGAGATCAGAGAAAATCATTACAGAGACTAAAAAGAAAACATCTCGGTCATCGGTAAAACAACTTTCACAATATTGGGACTTGGGAGGTTTGTAAATAGTTAGAAACTACCTTTTCTTTCCGTATAAGCTTGCAACCTTCAACCAAACCAGTGCTTGAGAAGACTTCTTGCATAAGAGGTTCAGTGACTTGAGGGTGAATATTCCCAACATACCTGCATTTTTTACAGAACAAAAGAAGATATTTTAGTGGAAAAGTAAAAATTAACTGACTTTTCAAAAACTCTTTCCAACTAATGAATTCAAAATAATGAGTAAAGATTAATGAGCAAAGAATGACACACTCAAAAAGATGAAATAATCTATGATTTGCTTTTTTAAATGAACACAGCTTAACCATTGATCATTATATCATAACATACTAAAGTTACATAGATTCAAAAAGCATCAAATGAAACAACCCATTGCACTCAATTTGTGACACATAGGTGGCACATGCATGAACCACAGACATCCTAAAAGAAGATAATAAAGAAAACCAAGGAAAAATTCCCAAAACTCACACACTACGACATGTGCTTGGATCAAACCCAGGAGGCAGATTTCCACTTGGGATAGGCTCAATCTGCAATATGTAAGAAAAGAAAAAATAACAAATCAAGAACCTAATCCACATGCACAGATGCTTTCTACCCACTTAGAAATAGAAAAATAACCACCACCTGACCACCACAATCCCCGAAAAAACTTTAAAACAAAAATGGTAAGGCAGCAGGGGGGACAGAAGTAAAAGGAATTAATGGTATCCCAATACATGTTTAAACTCTAAAGTATGTGCACCACTAACAATCTCATTTAGCACTCCACCCAATAAATTTTTATTTTCAAGCAAATTAACTTAGAAGATATCCAAGTAGTATGTGGCAAAAGACATTCATAAATGTTATATTTGACAATATTAGAGTAACTAATAAGTGTTGATTCTGACAGCAGACAGTTTACATGCCCTTCTGAAGAGTTATTAATCAAGTAAGGTAGTTAGTGCTACTAGGAATGATATATAGAGTTTCCACTATGGCATTTAATTATTTTAAGAATTTAAGTTGGTGTTTCTTATAGTTATCTATAGGAAAAAACATCGATTGACATGAATAGCCACAACTTTATTATTTGGACTACATAAACTAAGAACTTCCCAAAGTGTTATAGAATTAGTTTCCACTAACATCTAGAAGAATAAATGATGGATATTCTAAAAAGGCAAACTGCACAGAACCCACCGCTATAATACATCACTTGCAGTTCATAAAACATACTATCATAATTGTCAATATCATGCATTAACCAAGAAAAATAAAATGGACGTGAACACAACACACGACCATCTGTGTTGGTTGAACACTTGAACTAAACAGAAATGACTTCACTACAGTTAGTGATGAAGCATTAATCAAGCAAGCACTTAGTTACAATGCACATAAAAAAATGCAAGAGAAAAGGATGGAACAAGGATATGCTTTTAAGAGAAAAAAATAAAACTTTATTTATCTCAATCCTGAATATACATGCTAGAAGGATATTTATTCTCTAAAAACGTGAGAGAATCGCCGCACACTAAATTATGTCAAGAATTCAAGATGCAGGAGTTTACGCATCAAGCGCTGAAACATTGTGGACAGCTTAGAACGAAGCAAAGATAAAATTTGGCGAGCTAATTACTCTAGCACGATCTAAACCAATCGATATTCATGCATTTCAAAAAAAAAAGGAGAGAAATCGAACCGGAGGAGCAGCTATGAGGCCAGGATGATACAGAGATTGTTGTTGGAGAATAGCTTGTTGCATCAAGGCCTGCTGCTGCTGCTTCAGCCTCTGGTGATGCATTTTGTCAATTCCCAATCTTTCAACCGATGATCAAAGATGAATGCGGGGTAGGGTTTGGAGAGAGAAGGGAAGGGAGAACAAGAAGGTCCTAGAAGAACTGAAGAAGGGGAAAAATAAAAAACAAAAAGTAATGAAAAGGTACAAATATAGCTTGATAACTAACAAAAAGTAATGAAAAGGTACAAATATAGCTTGATAACTTGATAAGAAATAAATTTAACTTTATTATTGACTTTAAATAAAAGGATTTTATAAGAATATTATTAAAATAAAATATATTAACATAAATATGATTATTAGTTCAAAACATGAATATAAACTACTATGATTTCATTACCATTTTAGTAATTAGTCATATTTTTATAATTTATTTTTATTTTGGTTATATTTATGTAATTATTTCTTAAATAAATTCTTTTAGAAAACTTTAAATAAATTAGAAAATATTAAAAATAAATAAACTAATGGAAAGTTACCGAAATCGAACCAAAACAATTTGAAAATTCCGAAATAGGATTGTCATGTTTTTTATTTCCAATATAAGATTAATTACTGTTAAGTTTGGAAAATAATGTTATATTTGATGTCTGATAATGCCAAAATATGACAGTAATTAGTCTTATTTTGGAGATAAAAACACGGCAGTCCTATTTTGAAATCTTCAAACTTTTTTAGTCCTATTTTCGGGTAGTATTCTCAAAACTAATGGATATATTGAGTTTGGGTATTTTTAATAAAAATTGTATTTGGACAATTAAAAATTTAAAATTAAAACATTATTCCATGTTCTATGCTTCCCTACATTGTTAACACATACAGAAGAAACACAAATTTGCTTTTAATTTATAATTTTTTAACATATTTGTTATTTTTATGTTCTCTATAATTGTTTTAATTTTTTGTATTTGGATGTCTCTTGTTATTGTTTCATACCATATTTGGTAACATTTGTGTGGCTCTAATGCATGTTTACGTTATTCATTTTATCAACTCATTATTAACCACATAATTCTCCTGTTTTAAAAATCACATCACTTCCTTCCATCCCAAAATTAGGGGGTAGAGGTAGTAATATTTTACGATAACAACTATAATTATATGTAAAAGTTAAAATATTTCTTTTAATTTAACAATGTAAAATTGATATAATAAAATAATAAAGGAAGCATAAAGGAAGCATTGAAGACGGGATTTTTTTTGTTTTTTTACTTTTCAATCCCCAAACTCAATACAACTATTAATTTAGTTTTGATATTTTTAAATCTATAATTTTTATTTACTTAAAGACTGTGAGAGTGAATGTACTTCTAAGTTCTAAGTATGAATTTTAGGAATATTTTGCACTTGTCAAAACTTTAGGCTGATATCAAGGATAAATTTGTCTAGTTTTTCCTGAAAAAGATTTATAGGGCTATAATCCTCAAACATATCCCTTACTAAATCAAATTTCCCAATCATTTTATATTAAAACAACTATTCAGTACGGTAGTTCAACACATTCTAGCATCCCTCAATGTATTCGTTCTGCGCAGTTTTTTAAATGCAATGCAGAAATCCTTACTTTTATAATTACGAATAAATAATATTTTTATGAATGATATGATTAAAGTTTTAAAAGTCAAATGTTCGGATGGAAAGTAAATAAATTTGAAGTTTAATTTTTGATGTTGTCTTTGAACTATTTTATAGGGAAATTAAAAAAAAATGGCCCGAACCGGGCACGGACCGGCCGGGCCGGTTCGCATTTTAGGTGGCCCGATCCCGCACCGGGATTAGACCGGTTCGGGTTGGCCCAATCCGTTCCCAAGACCGGGTACTGGGCCGGGCCGGGCCCAAACAGTACCGGGCCGGTCCGGTTCCGGGCCGGACGGCCCGACACGAGTCCACCCCTAGTCAACTACCGGGCCGGTCTCGGGCCTCAGTGAATTTCTTTTTTGGCCCAACCAGGCCTAGGCCCGACCCGGAACCAGGCCCGGTTGAGTCCAACACTATTAATAGTGTACTAATAAAAATTTGTAGCACTTTGTAAAATAATAACTACTTATCATTGCATCCATTCTTCTTTTGTCCATTGTGAGTCATTCATTTTGCTTCTTTCTCATGCGTTTCTTTTCTACATGGGTGAAAGGTTGTTATTAACTATAAAATTTAACCAACTCTCACCCTTCCTCTACCTTTTTTACTAGTATCTACAAGAATTAGGTGTGAAAACTGAAAAGTTTAAATGTGGTGTTTTTCATCCCAAGATTAAAATTGGTACTCCCTCCGTTCTCTAATAGATGAGAGTATAGCCTTTGACACAAGATTTAAGAAGAAATTAATAAGGGTAAGATAAAAGGTGTAGTGAGTTGTGTGTAAAGGAAAAAGTAGGAAAGAGAATGAAAAAGTAGGAAAGAGAATGAGGGTATATAGGTATATTTATTGAAAAGTAGAGACATGTATTGAAGAACATCCCAAAATGGAAAGAGATACATGTATTAAAGAACGGAGGGAGTATAATTTAGAAAAAAGGATGACACCCCATCCCTGAGGGCCCCCCAACACCGACCGGACGACACGATGGGAGGATGTAAATTGGACTATAATCACAATCTGACAGATAGAGAGTGGGGCTCTGTCCCCGGTACTTGCAGAGGCCCTATGCATTTTTCAGCATAGTAACCCCTCATCGCAGTTGCCGGGATTCGAACCCGAGACCTAACCCTTGTGGCACTCCCTTGCTACCAGTTGAGCTACGCCCACCGGTAAAAGGATGACACCCCATCCCTGAGGGCCCCCCAACACCGACCGGACGGCACGATGGGAGGATGTAAATTGGACTATAATCACAATCTGATAGATAGAGAGTGTGGCTCTGTCCCCGGTACTTGCAGAAGCCCTATGCATTTTTCAGCATAGTAACCCCTCATCGCAGTTGCCGGGATTCGAACCCGAGACCTAACCCTTGTGGCACTCCCTCGCTACCAGTTGAGCTACGCCCACCGGTAGGGAGTATAATTTAGAGAGATTAATAATTGTATAAACAATAAACAGGGCCGTCTCTAGGAGTTTTGGTGCCCCAGACAAAGAATGATTAACGAGATCAAATAGCACATAAAATGAATAACGCAATTAAATATGAAGTAATTAAAATTAAAAAAATCGTAAAACCATTTTTACTAAATATAAAAGGTAATACTTGACTTAAAATTGAAATAAAGTATGTGAGAATAACTAAAAAATATTTTTTCGTACATAAATTGATAAATTCTACGATTGTAATATTTGAATGGAAAATTGATTGTAATAATCCTAACTATTGCCGGTCCTCTCATAATAATCTCAACTATCGATTATTTCAGAATAATCCCAATTTTAGGGACTTTCCGCCAATAATGGTTCGACATGACCGGCTATAAATAAATTCATGTAGTTTCTAAAGTGGATGAGAAGAGATATAACAAGTAATCCCTATAAAAAATCCCAACTTTCAATTTTTACGCTTAATTTCTATTTAAAATTCACTTGTTATAGGAGGTAATATCTGGTCATGGACCATTATTGGCGGACGGTCCATATAGTTGGAATTATACAAAAATAATCAATAATTGGGATTATTGTTAGCGGATCAGAATTATTTTCAATTTTTCCTATTTTAAAAGTACCTTTATTAACATGATAGTGGTGAGGAGGTTGATATTGATAGCAATAAACTACAATAACGATAATGAAATAATTATAATAAAAAGAATTTGAACAACAATAATTAATATTAATAATAAAAATAATAAGAGTAGTACAAAAAATTAGATGAAGCTGACTTGGAGATATCAAATATGGCTAGCCAGTAGCCCATATACGAAGTCTTAAAGTCATACCCACGTTCAAATGCTCCCACACTTCAGTTTAATGTTTAGAGTTTAGACGAAGTACTTCGTATTTGTTTTTCCAATAATCCCACACCGGAGCGACAGATCTATTCTCTCATCACGAAACTTCATAAACACTCCGTCTTCCTTCTCTTCTAAAGGACAAGGCTTCCAACGCTTGAAAAGGCTAGGCGGTTAACTTTTGAGACTAGAACACTGATTAATATACATACTACGTATATATTAGTGGTTTTAAAAAAAATGGTGCCCTCCATTGAAGTGGTGCCCTAGGCCATTGCCTAGGTGCCTGCCATCCATGGACGGCTCTGACAATAAACAAGTAAATTTAAAGAATAGTCTCTCTAGTGTCCATCATAGTAAATTACCAAATGCCATTTATGCATTGGTTGTTTAGATGCAATTCAGAACTTTGAAGAAGCAATTCAGTTCATTAGTTATGTCAACCAACTTTTTACCAAAAGTTTGATTAGATCATTTAATTATGCAGTATTCAAAATAAATAAAACCATAATTACGTGTGACTAAATTGTTGAAATGACTCTTAACTCTTTGCATGCAACTTTTGCAATATTGAGGATTCAAATAATATAATCGTTCACCAAGAACATCAACAATTTCGGCATTAAGAAATAAGCCCCATGTTTCCTGGCTTAACCGATTGAACCAATCCTAAAAGCCAATTACATTGTATATATCTATATCTATATTCTATATATGAGTCCTTTTCCTGTCCGACCAGGCCGGACAGGAGGCTCGTCCGGCCACCTCAATTTGAGGTGGTTCCCGGTGGTATTTTTTTTTGTGTATGTTCCTCATCAAGTCTAGTTCATCCATACCAAATTTGAGCAACAAATTCAATCGGGAAGGTCGTCAAATGATTTTTGCAAGTTAACTGGTCCGGAATATACATATAAAACGCAGTGAAAGAGTGGGGAATCGAGAACAAGGTTTTTACTGTCACGGTGGACAATGCTACAAGTAATGATTCTGCAATTAGGTATATGAAAAATACAATCCAAATGTCAAGAAAGTTAGTTTGCGATGGAATCTTATTCCATGTTCGCTGTTGTGCTCACATTTTAAACTTGTGTGTTCAAGATGGGCTAGATGAGATTCGTTATATTATTAGTGAAGTCAAAGACAGCGTTGAGTATATTAATCGCTCAGAGGCAAGGCGGATTCAATTTGCTAATTGTGTGCACCAGTTGCAATTGAAAGATAGGAAGTTGATTTATGATAGCAAAACTAGATGGAACTCAACTTTTGAAA